ATATATATATATATTTCCCCTAAGGATGTATATTTTAAAAATTTATTACAAAATCAGTAAAACTTACTGTAAAGTTAAAAAGAGGGCCATCTTGTGCAATCCTAGCACCATAATATAGATTAATTTTTGCATACGCCCCTCTAGTCTTAGGCCATATGTATACACACTTTAAGTGTTGTCATGGTATTTATACAATTTTCTAACTTAATTTTTCACTTAACATTGTCATGTATGTTTTTCTATTAATATATACTCTTCATGATTATAATTTATAAGAATACATAATTCCCTTGACTGGATATACCATAATTTAATTAACCATTTTTTCTGCTGTTGCAACACTTAAGCTGCTCCTAATTTTTGCATTTATGAAGTTCTACATTTAAGACTAACAGGTATTGGTGGTGATGAAATCTTTCCTTGGGAACGTCCTCAGCTAGACTTCTGGCTTCTTAATAAACAGAGGTATCATTATCCAAAATTATATTCTCAGGAGTCCCACCTCTAGAGCAGTGCTTCTCTGTTTGTGATGAAATACCAGTTTTGTTCTGATTTCCAATCTGTCAAGGACCAATTCTTTTTTAAAAACAGAAAAAAAATGAAAAATGAAATGGAAAGATTAACTAGACATCTGCAAAGTATAAGCCCACAATTTTTATTGTAGATTCAATAGACATAAGTCACTCTGCCAAACTGTTGTAAAAGTCTTTAAAGGATTATTCACCATTTCCATATTTCCCTTGTTGAGGACTGGTACAGCCTGGCACCAGCTCACAGATCACACTTCACATATGCTTCTCCAGAATACCTTATCACCCGGGTCTCCATCTCCTCTTGATGGTAACTGTCAGTCACTTCATTCTCTACTTAGTTTCCTCTATTTTTAGCAATCTGTCACCTCGTCCACCTTTTGTTACCACCTATACCTTTATTTCCCTTCTTATTCCTGTTTTTAAATGTACCGTCTCTTTCTTCTCTCTGGATTCCTTTTTTACTGATCCTTCTATGACCACTTCTCATCTTTCCTCTGTCTTCATCTCTCACCAAGATGTGTAGTCATACCCCTCCCATCTCACCTGGCCAAGGCCATGTCTTAGGCTTCAGTATTGTTCTTACCTGAGAACTCCTGGATTTTGGTAGTCACAGAACCTCTTCTTAGTCTAAGAGCTTTTCTCTAGCCTTGGTTTTACTGCCATTTTACGATACTTCACCATCTCTTTCAATAGTTCTTGTTGCCCTGGGCCTCTGCCTTGGACCATCAGCTCTAAGCCATTTCCTATTAAAGACTTCTTTTCTAAACATGCGTGCATCTAACTCTTAATTTATCTTTGTGTTCTTGACCTTCTTATAACTTTCTAGACCTTCTACTATCATAATGTAATCTCAAGCTTAACATTCTATC